TGCCGTTTCCATGCTGTATCCCGGCCTGAAGCCCGACTGGAGCGGGTCTAGATAGACTGTTTCCTCCAGGTGCCGGGGGAATTGCTGCGCAACCACACTCTCAACAACCTTCGCCACAAAGCGAAGGTTGGAGACCGGGCGATAGTTAGCTAATACATCTGGGTCCAGGGAAGGCTTCTTAAGAAGGGGCCTCACCACCACCTCCTTCAAGGCTACGGGGAAGACACCCTCCCATAAAGAAGCGTTTATAATTCCCTGGAGCCAGGCTCGTGTACCCTCCCGGGCAGCCAGTACCAGCCAGGAGGGGCACGGATCCAGTAAACATGTGGTTGCATTCAGCCTCCCCAGGATCCTGTCCACGTCCTCGGGGGCCACAGAGTCAAACTCCTCCCATATAACAGTCTCAAGACCTGCTCCTGTCTCCTCCCCCGGGGCCACCCAGTCAGAGTCAAGGCCTTCTCGGATCCGAGCGACTTTGTCATACAGATATTGAGCAAAGTCCTCAGCCCTCCCCTCCAGGGGATCCTCCCCCCCTCCACTGAAGGAGAGAGCGGGTCACCCTGAAGAGGGTGGCCGGGCGATTATCTGATGACGCAATGAGGGTGGAGTAGTAATTAGACCTAGCCACCCTCATTGCCACTAGGTAGGATCTAACCTGCATCCTTGCCTGTGCTCGATCGGATTCGGTTCGGCTAGCCCTCCAACTGCTCTCTAGGTGTCTTTTCCGGCACTTCATCTCTCTCAGCTCCTCGGTGAACCAGGGAGCCAGTTGAGATCTGCGCCGGGTCAGAGGCCGCAAAGGCACGACTCGGTCCAGTGGTGCGGCAGCGGCCACTTCCCAGGCCGCCGCCAGATTTTCAGCCGAATCGTGTATCTCTTTTATCCTGAGGCTATATAAATTCAGTAATAGCTTCCTGTTGAAAAGAACAATATCTTCCTGTTCTCCTGCTATACTCAACATCTGAAATGTTGAGTGCTTGACTGAATGTTTCTCCATCAATAAGAATCCTTCAACCTTTTGAGCAAGCAATAATGGCTAAACCTCATGTCCTTGTTAATTGTCCTCAGAGGTCTTATTTACCCCTCCAAAGAGAGGGGTAATTACTCAATTTCTTGTTTTTACCTGCAGGAGATCTCATTAAACAATCTTCCTTTCTAGGTGTCCAATCTGACGTTTAGGTGGTGGAATCTGGAGGAATTGTGAGAAGACCTGGAGCAGTGGTGGCGAACCTATGTCACATGTGCCAGAGGTGGCACTCAGAGCCCTCTGTGTGGGCATGTGCACCGTCACCCCAGCCCCGCCTCCCCCCGCGACCTACTCCTAACTGGAAGCCCCCCCAGAGAGTCACCCCTGAGTGCGGCCCATGCAGATCAGCCCAGCCAAGGACATGCTAGCCAGGCAGCAGGGACAAGACTCCACCCTCGCGCCCAATTGCATGCAGTTGATGCTGTGGGGCATGGGTAGAGGGTGTGGCTGCCATGGTGCTGCTGGGCTGCCAGGGCGATCTGAGGCAGGTTGTATAGGCAGTGAGTGGCCATGCAAGTGGGTGGGGCAGGGGCGGGCTGGGGGCAGAGCGGGGCAGGGGGCAGGGTGGATGGGGCCAGTTTTTGGGCATTCGGTCTCTAAAAGGTTCGCCATCACTTACCTGGAGAGTCCCGCTATCTCTCCTGCCAAGTCTCTGGATTCACCTTCAGCAGCTACTGGATGGATTGGGTGAGACCGGCTCCAGGGAAAGGACTGGAATGGATGGCAAGCATACGCTATGATTCTGCATATATTTACTACTCTGACAAAGTGAAGGGCCACTTCACCATCTCCAGGGACGATGCCAAAAGCCAGATGCATTTGCAAATGAACAACCTCTAAGCTGAAGACATGGCCGTCTATTACTATGCAAGAGACACAGTGAGAGGAACTGTCAAGGCTGCTAACATTGGATGTTCTTGCTTGACAATATATGAAGAAGCAAACATGTTTTAGTTAACCTGTGTATCACTTCTAGAGTTAAAGTCATACAATGTTAGAAGAGAGGGGGGAAGTATGTACTCGGGGGATAGTTAGTCATAACAATATTTCAGTACAGTATTTCCAAGGTCAGTTGTAACCAGAGGAGTTACGGGAGAGAATGTTCACACTTCAAACTAATTGGAGAATGTGATTGATGACTGTTAAATGAAGGAGTGAGTTATGCTTTGTTACGGGTGATTGGGGGAGGGAGAATTCAGTTTTTGGCTTCATTATGTACGTGCAGAAGCTATGTAGCAATAAAAGGATTCTTTAAGGCAAACAAGGCCTCAAAGTTCTTTGAAAAGCCTCTTCTTTCAGAACCATGACAGGAACTATATGTGAAGCCACGCAAAAAGTGCCCATTTCACATAGCAGCTCTGCAAATTTCTTTTCTAATAAAAAACAACTTTATTAATTCAGATTCTCCCTTCATTCTGCACTTCAACCTTCATTAGAAATGAGCCTCTTTTTTGTTCATGTAGTGAACACCACACGTCAATTTTATCCTCAATCCAGGTTGATATTTATTCAATCTACTCATTCCTGATCCTATCCTACTCACTTCACCACCCTTATTTCTTAGCCCTTAATTTAGTAATATTATCATAAATTTATCTAAATATAATCAGTTGGTGTTGAAAACCACAATCAATGTCCAACCTCTGGGATGGGACTAATTGATCGATTTAACCTTCCTTTCTTACAAACTGGTTTTATCTTCCCTCTGAAACTCAGATGCAAATGAGTTCACTGAGTTGCTTCTCCTTTAAATTATCACAAACACACAAAAGAGAATCACAGACCCAAAGTTGTCATTACTCTAAAGAAAGGGTGGATTTTTCACTGCCCAATG